CCCTGCTCCGCCGTGCCCTGAGGAGACCGATCCAAAGCGGGGGCCGCCCTGAGCAGCGCCCCGGGACCGAGGCGGCCGGGCCCGGCTCCTGGGGGAGGATGGGCACGGCAGGCGCCCCCCTCAGCGCCACCTCGGTGACTGCTGTGGCAGGCGGGGGCCAGGCTGGGGTGGGAGACGGGCAGGCACCCCCCCTCCCTTGCTTGAGGGGAGTGGTGCCTTTTTAAAAGGTCGCTGGTGAAAGCGTGTCTATATTGTCTAGGCATCATCAAGAGGTTTTTTTTTTTTTTTTGGCGGTTATCGCGTGTAAGGGGGACTTGGTCTGGCTCACTGCTGTGGGGCTCAAGGGCATGGTTTGATTTCTCCTTAAAAGGAGAAAAAAATCAAGCCCTCTGTTTCAGCCTATGTGTAGGAGTGAACTTTGTGGAGCATGTTTTACTTCGGGGTAAGCCAGAAGCCTGCAGAGTCAGCAAACACAATGAGGAATAAAACAATAAATGATTTTTATCACTCTGCTGTACTGATACATCTCTCAACTGTTTGATCCTCACTAGAAAATAGGATCACTGCTGTGAGACACCTGTTCCTGGAAGGGATCCTGCAACTGCTCCCTATTTTGTATCAGGCAAAATCTGACAGATTTGTTCAGGCTGCTTTTATGAATATAAAACTACTGGTTATGATTTTGCCCAGAATGGATGTCAGAGTGTGAATGCCATTCAGCCTGCAAGGATCTAGTCAAGTAGGACTAATTTTAGAATTTGTGAAAATAAGTCCAGTCTGTTCACTTCGTTGGGCTGGTAGGATAGCAACGTGTCAGTTTGATCCATCTGGTAGTAGGTGTTGCAACATGTCTCAGTATGTCAGTGGAAGGATATCTTTACCTCATTTGCAGCAGAGCCTTGGATTTATTCCTGTGACTTCTGCAAGTCGTCTTAGTTGCATAGCAAAGTAGCAGTTCCTGCTTCATGAGCTGGACAGATTATCTACCTGATAACAGAATCCTGACACGTGTGATAGCCAACAGTACACTTAAGTGGAAGGAGTTAACATCTTTTAATGGATGTGGGATGGGTATAGTAAGGTTCAACTTTATCCTCAGGAAACACACAGTTTCTCTGTAGGATATATTTCCTAGAGCCTTAAAAATTAAATGTAAAATATAAATTCTCTACTTTATTGAGCATTACTGATTTAGACCATCTGAAAATCATTCCCAAACACTTATGTAGAAGTAGCTTATCAGACAGGTTTTGATGAATCTATTCCCATTGAGACAAATATCTTAAAAAGTGTCCATTAGAGGAATTTTATAAATATTTTGATTAAAATCATTAAATATACGGTATTCTGCGGCTGTATCGTGACTACTAACAGAAGGGGCTATCTTGTGCTTGGAAATTAAGTCAAGTCCAAAGCATGGAGAGTCAACAAATCAATACAAAGATATACTATATCTGTATTTCAGATGTGCTTTTAGAGTCTGCCTTCTCTTCTGTTTTTGTTGGGAGGGGGGAGGGAGGTTGCTTTTGGTTTTAGTTTTTTGTTTCCAGTTTAGCTGAGTGCCTGTCACTGACACAATTCAAAAATCATGCATTAGAAATGCACCACAGATTCTTCAGGGGAAGCTACTGTTTATAAACTACTTCAGGGAGTAGTTTATAAACATGGAGATCGTATACTGCCTGGAAAGCAGATTGGGAACTGAGAGGCTTTATTCTTTTCTTGACTATTAGTAGTTACCTTGACTACTGTATCTGTTTTCTCATCTGAGAAATGGAAAAATAATCTAGAGAAACTTAGAAAGTAGTCTAAGATATAGCTCCTTTCATTTACAGATTTAAGAATTTATTCTCACTGAAATCAGTAATTTCCCAAAAGAGTTCAAATGAATAGTCCAAATGAAAAATGACTCTCCATTTATATATGAATTATTATACATAAAGACAAGCAGATTAGTAGTTAGTCAGCTGCTTTAAATGTTCATCGTAAGGAATTCCTTACTTTAGTGCCATTAGCATCTCTCATTGAGTCTTAACATTGCTAATGTTTCAGCTATCCTTAGGCAAGGTATGGTCAAATGCTCAAGTTAAATATGTAACTGTGTGTGGCTAGGAATGGTCCTTCTATGGATGCATTCCCATCTATTGAAAGCTAGGACAGAGAGAACAGGAAAGAGCTGATAGTGTAACTCTGAATTTGTACATGCTAGTCAGTGTATTTACTTGCCTGTATTATTCCCAGAATCTACTAATGGAGACACAAAAACATTCTCTTAATACTATTTCCCATAATTCTGTTGAGAGCTTAGTTTCTCAAATGAGGCCTCTGAATGAGTTCACGTTTGATGTCTTCTGTAGCATTGGTTTTAGACTTATTGCAGTACAAAGGTATAGTGTAGGCTTCTTCATGGTTTTACCCTTGCCTACACTTTATAGATCTACCTCTTGACCTGATTGGTATAGTCAGTAGTCCATTACAGCATTAACAGTGTGATCTGTTTAGGTCATTCTCCCTTGATCTGAATAGGGAATAACCATTTTAGCACTATCAAAATATTTTATCGAGTTGTTGAAGAATTGTCACTTTTTTGTAAATTTTTTTGTAATTATTTTAAAGAGATTAGGTGACTTGACCAGCAAAAAAAAAAAAATTAGAAATAAAATCTTGATTTCTGCATGTTCGTTTGCTGCCTTCTGTTAACAAACACAGGGCTTAAGTCTGTTGTGTAAATGTCGGGTCTAATACCATTTGAAATGCCTTAGGGTATTCTGCCTTGTTCAGCTGCCAGTCTTCAAGGATGTGACTATGCTGTACCATATCTGCCAGCTCATTGTAGATATCTCCGTGCATCTTAAATGGCACCCAACACTATGTTTTGGCGACTGAATCGAGCTCCCTATCGAGCTGGAAATTTTCTTTCTATACCCCCTTATTTTTTCAATTTACATTTAGTAAACCAACTATTTTTTTTTTCCAGATAGTTCCACTGTTATAACTATATTGCAATCTTGATGGTCTAAAACCTCGACTGCTTAATAAATGGAAACAGAAAAACAAGAGACTAAGCAGAAATGCCACATATAATGGGAAAAATGTATTCTGTGTAATACAAATTAACATCTATATACTGTAGCTCTATATATCATGTAAATGTATTTTGTTCTGATATGCCACAAAAATTTATCAGTCATTATTAAAATGAGGTGAACAAAAATAATGCTTTTTTATTTTTATCTTTATATATTGTTTACATTAAACAGTAATATATGTTCTCTGGTAATGGCTTTATATTTTGTCTCTCAAAACTCATAAATCAATATAATTTGACAATGCCTGGTTTTAATACTTTAAACATAGTATCTCTTACAGAGCTTCTTTTTTTGTTTTGACAGGTTGATAAAGATGCTTTGGATACCCAGATTAAGGAAAAGAAAATTCAAGAAGCAACTGAAAAAGCACAAAATGAAAAACTTGGTATTTTCATAAACTGTACTTTATTTCTATGTACAATTATATATAAACAGTTTTGCCTTCTGTTTCTTTCTTTTTTTCCTCCCTTTATGTCTTTCATACTGCCGTATTTATTTCCAAATGTAGCTTATCTCCTCGAATCTTGCCATATATATGTATTAGCACAATTGTGGGCTTTTCTCGGACATACAAATTCGGACATACAAATTCGGACATACAAGCTGAATCCTATTATATTGAGTCTTACTTATGTTAATGTATTTGCACTGATGCGGTATCTGTTTTCATCTGACTGCCTGAGGTACAGACTCACATCACTGGATTTATATTGCCATGATCAAAGTGGTAGACATTTCCTAACAGAAGAGCCAGAGTTTTTGCAGTATTGTCCTTTGATAAAGGCTGACAAATAGCATTGTTTTAGAGACCTGAAGATGCAGGGATTTTTTAAAAAACTGAATTAATTAATACTGTTCTTTTCAGAACAGTAGTGGCAAAATTGTTTAATTGCTTTCTTGCTGAAATAGGCTATGTTTTAGCTGGCTGTTCCTCAATGAGATCTTCTCTATAGGTTATTTTTGCTAGAAGCATGAGTCACGTACAGCAGGACTGTGAGTAGGAGCCGTTGCTGAGTCAGAGCACATATCCATACAAATATTTCAACCACGTCCCCTGACCTCGAAACCCCATGAGGCCCTCTGTGGTTGTAACACTCTTCTGCGAGATCATTTGTAAAGGGCCCACAGACTAAGCTCTCTGTGGATTTCAAGACGACTCAAATGTAGCTGCCAACTTCCATGTCGAGCTCCTGCTGCTGGTTGTGATTTTCCTGGCAGATACCCTGGCAGGATACCTGCCAGAATCTGACTCCTAGGAAACTGCCAGAAGCAATGCGTAGTTTGGCAGAGAAAATAAAATTTCTTGTGAATTATATTTAAACAGCTAGATTATTTACTTACTTTACTAAATCAATTACAGCATTTTGATTATATGGGGAAGAGCTATTAAGCTCTTCCAGAAACTGTTAGTGTTAGCCAATTTTTATTTTTAGTGAGGGGAAAAAAATAACGGAAACCATGAAACAATTACCTATGTCCCTTCCATTTGAGAGCCCTATTTTTTGTTTCTTAATAGACAACTTAATGCATTTCAGTCGTGACTTTAGATCAGGAATAGATGCAAAGATGTACTCTACAGTACATAGCATTCATGTATTCCACAAGTTTTTTTTTTTTAAATGAAACCTCATAATTCTAGAAATTTGTATTGACTATCTGTTTCACATGCTCACATTTCATTGTATTATAACAAGATAATTGATTCCTTAAAAAAAAAAAAGAAAGAAAGAGTTTTATAGTTGAATATAACCAACACTAGAGTGTTTATCAGATTTGTTCTCATAGATCAAATATTTTCCTAAGGTCTAAAAATTTGAAGATTTATATTCTATTTACTTCTCTTAAAATTTGATTTTTCTGTCTTGCACTTGAGATCTGTAGTTTCACTCTGTTCATACATTTTTCTCTAGCCAGTGAAATGAAGCAAAATGACAAGATCATGTGTATGTTAGAAGAAAGACAAAAAAATGATATCAGAAATATGAATAAGGCTATCAGTGAATTTCGGAAGAATTTTCAGAAGCCAGAAACAAGACGTGAATTTGACCTGTCTGATCCTCTAGCCCTAAAGAAGGACACTCCTGCTCGACTTTCAGACAGTGATCCTCGATGCACTGTATCTGGCTTGCAGAAGTTTATGGGTGAAGATTTAAACTATGCTCAGAGGATGAAATTTCAAAAGGAGCAATTAAGAGAATGGTCTCTTCAACAACAGAGAGACTGGAAGAATGTATTAGCTGATAAAAAATTTTCAGGTAACAAAAGAAGACAAGAAGACAGAAAGTTTTTTTTTTTGGTCTGCTTTGAAATTCTAGTGTATCTGCCAAAACTCTGATATAGTCTAATACATCAGATTCCGGTATAGGAATATTTTAGTATATTCAGTATTGCAGCTTTTAGAAATACTGCAGCAGTTTTTACATTATAGCCTTGAATGTATTCAATATCTCAGTTAAGATATCTATATTTAATAATGTGGTGACTATATTATTACATGCACTTCATTCTTGTTATACAGCTCAAATGAAGAGTCAGGACGTTTTGAAAAACCATCTGTGTTTTGCATGTTAGAGGGTTTACTTCCTCAGGCCAAGTTGTCCGATTTCTAGTATTCTAGAGCGAACAGAATAATTCTGATGACTTTTTTTGGTTTCTATCATGAAAAGGTATTTTTCTACAATACTTAACATATATTCTTCTGTTTTGTCTAAGTGTAAAAACAAGATGGGTTACATAATAAACTGATTTTTTGAGTCATCTGAAATTCTAAAATGTAAATCTTCAGTGGTAGGATTTGGGAATAGTTATGTAATTCAGTTTAGTATATTTGTAACTTCTCAGTCAGTAACTTTTTTTTTTAATAGTGGCATGTACATACAGCACATCATGTCCATGAATATTAACTAAACTTCATTTTAATCTCATTTAGATGATCTCTACGACAAGAATAGGATTGAACTTGACCAAAAAGCTATGGAGCTACAAAGAGCAGAGGAAGAAACCAGACGTGCTGTTTGTGCAGCTACTAAAGATTTTAATAGAACCCAGGTAAATTCAGATTGGTTTAAAAATTAAAAAAAAGTAACAGAGAAGGAAAATAAGATAAATGTTGAGTAATAGCACAATGAATAATGATATTACGGGAAAGGTTTCTTAGCAGCTGAGTTCCAAGCTTGTTTCAGTAGTCAGAAAATACAGTTTAATCGCTTCTTTATCTTCTACCAGGATTTAATTATCCTCTGCCAGAATTTTCAGTCCTAGACCTTAGCTTGCTGACTGAAAAAGGGCAGTCGGAATTCCTCAAGCTCTTGAAAACTTCTGATCTGTAAATGTGGGTAGAGCAGAAGCCGCCCAAGCTTCTTTCTGGTTTTATGTCAATAATCTGATGAATTTAGTACTCTGTCTCTACTTGTTTTATCTTTTTGCCTGTGTGGAAATACTACTGTCGGTAACTTCATCTTTATTGTTTACCTTAATGCCCTAACACCACCATTTTTGGCATTTTGACTGCTTCAGTGGTATTTGTTCTCATTGTTTATTGAACATGCTTTGGAGCTTAGAGAATAGGCTCACATCATGTTCTAGCGTTTGCCTTAGTATCATTGTCTGAGAGACTCCAGTAGTTTGTCTTACTACTGTGGTATATTCCCTCTCCCCCTGCCCTGTTCAGCTTACTCTTTTGTTATTTAGCATCAGTCTATTTTTCACAGAATATTTTTCTTCAGTAGTAAAATACAAACTGAAATGGCTCTCACTAGGTTCTTCAGGTGGAATTATGCTTATTCCTAATGGTTCTCTTTGTTCTTCTGGAATTAATGACCATGACAATGAAATGATATATTTGATGCCATTTTTCCCAGTAGTGAAGGATTTTAAGTGTGGGGGTGGGGGTTGGAAAACTAACACTGTCTTTCCTCTCGGATATTCTCTCATCCAAGGATGTGTTAGCCAGGAACAGAAGTATTGCTCTTGTCCTTGTTGTAACAGAAGATTTTGACTACTAGCTTAAACTATCAGTTATTCCTGCCGACATCATTCTTTCCTACGTGAGTAGTAATGCTTTTAATTTGGAAAGTCAGGTAACAGAAATGAAGAGGTCCCTGAGTGCTGACTAGAATATGTGTTTTTACTTTTTTTTTTTAATATACAGTTGTGATTCTCTAGCAGAATCTTACATTTGCACATACAGATTCTTTTCTTAAGATAGTAACGCTTGGGAATCTCTAAAATAGCACTAAAGCGATAGATGCACCTATTTTTTTTCTGAAATCAGCAAGACAGTCTTCTTGCTTTTATATAGTACAGGACTTGAATCCTTTCCCAGACATTTTGGAGACTATGCTGAGGAAGTGAGAGGATGTGATTACCGAGGATCTCTAATTTAATCACCTCATATTTATAGACTTCCTACAGTCTTGCAGACCTCACATAATCAGAACTTATTCCCAGACATACTACAAGAGCTGGATAGCTTTCCTGAGAATGTTATCGCAGGCGTTTGCAGGGTAGGATGGTGTTATTCCTGCAACATTATGCTATCGTTAACACATTGAGTCGTTAGCTACTTCAGAGAAATATTTTTTTCAGTCTTTGAGTAAGTTATGAATTCTTCTTAACTGTAGAGCACTTTTTCACCTAAATATAGAAGAATGGTAGCTGTCTGTTTTTATCATTCTTTGAAGTGTGTTGCGCAAATGTGTTTTTCATTACTCACATCATATTCCTGAATTCAGCATCTACTATCATCAGTATTTGAAGATTTTTACTACATTTTCAGGCATGAGGAAACTCAGCGCGCGAAATGATCTTTAAGGGAGCTTGCTAACCAGAAGTGTCCAGCTCGAGTGTGCTGGAGTATCTGCAAAATACAGCCGATGGAATTGTATTGATTGTGCAGATGAATAATATTTTTTTCACAAGTTTCTATGACTCTGAACAGGTCAGTCTGATCATTTGTGAGCCTTGTGGCTTAGTCATAGGGCCTTCAGAAGCTGTGGTGCATTCCTTCAGCTATGTATTGGCAGCAGTTAGTTTCTCGCACGGTCAGAACTTGGCAATTATTTTGAGCATGTGAAGTTCTGGCCTTGCTACCTGCTTTCTTCTTTTGCGTTATGAATTGTGAATCTATAGCAAAAGGAAGCGTTTAGTGCTAGAGAAGATTAAAATAAATACAGATTAAAGTAAATACAGGAGAATGTATTTGTGCATCTGTGTTTTCCATGCTACGCTGATGAATCATTTTTTAATAGCAATTTGGTTTGATGGAAAGTGCATCAGATTTAGTCTGCGTTTAATATCTTTCTTTTGCATAGTCGTTAATCGTTATTTAGTAGGGCTGCGTACATGGCTATGCACATAGCTGGAGGTTTCCTCAAGTAAGGTTCCTAGACAGCTCAGAAAACTTTAGGCTCGTCCTCTTCCTGAGAATGGTAGAACTACAAACTCTAAATATCTGTTGTGGATCTGTTGCTAGATCACAGTAAAGTGTCCTTTAAAATAAAAAGTACACATTTTAAGCTTCAGTAATTCTTCATCATAGTTTAGTAGTTCCTTATAAAATCCAAGGTTCATCCAAAATGACTTTCTGTAAAATGTGATTTACTTTAGGGCAGTTCGAGAACTAAAATACTTGCTCAATAAATAGCTAAGCTAAAAGTACACATCCAGATACTCGGGTTCATTGTCCGATAGGATCACAAGATTGAAAATCTCTGGGGTTTTGGATGTCCATATTGTCTGTCTTCTTCCCATCCCCCCCCTCCCCTTGTAATCTCTTAGTACCTCTAATAAGTTATTATTGACTTTTCTAGATAAAGAGAAAACTTCAGGGAGATGCATTTGGGGCAAAAGATGTTTTACATTTCTGGTAGAAACTGACTCATTGACTTTAGTGAGATTAAAAGGTTACCTTTTGTTTTCAAAGGATTATTCCATGTTATGATAGCAGGGCTGATAACTGCTAGATCTGAAGTTGATGTTTTACCACTTTAAATTTAATTATTTGCTTGATTTATTTTCATTTCTATAAAAGCAGAGATTTCCTTTCTTATTTCACAGTAGAGTGTACAATCTTATTAAACAGCTGATAAGTATTTTTAAATAGAGTTTTTTTATCGTCTAAATTGAACTGTAGCTCTGACTGTTTATCACTCAAACTCAAAAAATGAGTTACTGAGAGATTTATCTTTTATTAGTTTGTTTGCATTCCAACCACTCTTGTTATTTTGATAGAAACCACCATGGCTAAGCTGTTTTCAGCTGTGGAGTTTATTAATCTAGGACATGGTACTTAGCAGTATTTGTTATTTCTTCTTCTCTCAGACCTCTGATAGGTCATTGTCCATGTTCAACCAAAGAAAATAAATGTTGCTCTTTGATAGTTTACAGGCCTGATGCTTGGGAGAACTGCTATGGTTCAAATTCAAAGTCCATAAATACAAACCTTGAGTTGAACCCGAGTGTGCAGTCTCCTCTGGTGGTATGGATCACTGTGCTTGCTGAGTTAGGATTTTTCGTCTGGTAACGTTTACAAAGCAACAAGTTCCTGTACTTGTGTCTGGATAGTCTGTCATTCTCACAGTTGCTTACATTTTCTGATTATTCTGCCTGCTCGTTTGCCACTTGATTCTGTACACCAGAGGAAGAATCTTTCACTTCCTATGACTTTATGCATAACCCTTCCTATTTTGTTTGTCTTCCTCCGCATTTAAAATGTGTGCACGCCAACTGGTGTACCACTAATCAGCAAGAAAACTACAGAGCTATTCTACTTGGCTTGAGAATGTTCACTTTGTAAGCTAATGATTTTAATTGGAGTATGAGGCAGTCTTGGAGAAACTGCAGAGGTAGGAATTCACTGGTCTGCTGCAATCAAGATACAAGTCTAAAAAGACACCTGACACACTCTTTGTGCCCTAGCAAGAAAGAGATTACCTGACCACCCTCTAAATGGAACCTGGCATTGTGCATTGTTCTATATGGCTTAGTTCCCACGTTACAGGAGAACTGAACAGGATTAGGAGTGGATGATGCTTAACACTGTTGTTCTACTTAGATTAGTTTACTTAATCCAGTTCTTCTGTGGAAGGTAATGCCTTTAAAGTAAAATCGTATTTCCTGTCTGGAGTTGGCTAAGAAGACAATTTCCTTTGAATAAGGAATTATCTTACTGTGAGCATTAGGAACGGTGATTTGCATAGGAAATGCATATTACGTGAATATATCTGTAGTATTAAAAATAACAATTTTATTAAAGGTTGCATTATGCATGGGCCAAGGGAATGGATTTAATGTTGCATGTTCAGGTGAAACTAATTTTTATGTAATTCTGGCTTTTCTTACAAAACAAAGTTATTTCCCCGAATTACTGGCTCTCTATGGTATGACAACATTAAAGAAATAAATCCTGTTAGCTTTTGTTCAACCTTCTTTACTACTGTCATGGTGTTGTGGGTTATCATATGTGATGCTGTTGACAACTGTATGCAAGTTGGAAAGACACGTATTAGGATATGCTAACTTTTCTTGCATTTCTTAGCTAATATTTTCTCTTAGACACAGTATCAGTTCTCTCCTTTCACTGACTTTTAGGCTGATGAACTAGCTGAGAGGAAGAAGCTAGAAAAGTATAAAACAATGAAAGATGACATGGCTGAAATTTCCAGCCTCCTTCAAGGTGACTTACTGTCTGAAAACCCAGAACAAGCATCTAGTTCCTTTGGTAGACATCGTGTGATCACAGATCGATGGAAGGGAATGAATCGGGATCAGCTGATGGCAATTCGTTACACCCAACAGCAACAAATTCTGGAGAAAATGGTATTTGAGCTTACGTGCATGTTTTGTACTCCTAGTTGTATTAGTATTATAGGCATGTTTGTGGAAGAAAATACATTTAAGGTTGTCCTGCATATCCCACTTTAAGACCATATTTTCCATTGTTCTTAACTTTGCTCAAACTTTAATCATTTGGACTTAAAGCAGTGTGTCTGCAAAAGATGGGAAGTGTCAGGGAGCAGCAGGAGCCCTGGGGTTGGGCTGGGAGGGGGGTTACTCTGAAGGCCAGGGCTGAGAGGACCAGGGCCCAGGGGAGTCCTGGGGCACAGCCTGTAGTCACTTGGCTCCAGCGGAGGCAGGGAGCAGAGTCCTGCATAGCCCAAGGGCCACGTTTCATGGTGCTTGGCTTGGCTTGAGATGGCATGAGCTAGCTGTGAGGGAGCAACAGGAGTGGGCTGCCTCGTAGGGTATGGGAAGCCCAGAGCTAAGGGTGACAGCAAGGCAGGCTGGGGCGGTACCCTCACAGATGAGGGGGCAGACCCACTGTACCTGAGCAAGACAAGTAGAACAGGTCCGATGATGCTGACTGGGTTCAGCTAAGAATCCGAATGGGCAGACAAGTCCGTAATGGTGAGGCAGGTCTGAGGTCAAGCCAGGAAGTCAAGTCTGCTAGGATCAGGGTCCAGATCAATAGGGTACACGGTCAAACATAGGCGTGGCTGCGACATAGCTCAGGTAGAGACCGCGGGCAAGGGACTTAATTTAAAAACAGCCCCTGAACAAAGGAGAGTTATCTCCAGCTGAGGCTCTTAAATGTGCATTTTTTTAAGACTGGGTAGCAGCACTATTAAAATGGGCCCGGAGTTCAGGCAGCCAAACACCCAGGAGAGGGCGGAGAGCACTCTAGCCCTTGACATAAAATTTCAGTAATAATGGTTCAGATATCTCCAAGAATAAGAAGTGGAAGAACTATTCTTTTGTTCTTATGTTCATATTTCTCAAAGACGTTGTCCCTGTTCCTTTTTGTTCCTTTTCCTCCTTGTACCACCAGTACATCTTAGTGATCAAACATGATGTTTAGTGGTGAGGTGACCTTCGCGTTAGGCGTTTGCTTTTGCCTTTTCCAAAAAAAATCCATTTGGATAGAGCAAGCTATTAATGCTGATGAGGAGTTTCACTTGGTGAGTATTTCTCAGTCTCTAAAAGTAGTATTCATGCATACATACTTTGTGCTCTTGAATGTTCCTAAACGCAAGGAAATTTCCTTTCTGCCATCCCCCACAACTATGAAACATGTTCTGGGATGGAAAAAATAAGCACTGTCAGTAATTGCTGCTCTAAAGGTTAGACAGAGGCAGGCAGCGAAAGTGAAGAACTCTACCCTTTGAATGCTGTCATGAGTGTACAGGCTTAGGCATTGTGTAGCAGGAAGCAGATGAGCCGTTTGCTCATCTGACGTTGGTGGCTTAGTTGTACGTTGACTTAGCCATGTTGTAAGCCTCACTAGCGAGGAACAAATGTTCCTGCTAGCTTCTTAACTCAAGAAGTTTCAAATCTTGCTACCAGGCTCTAAAAAAATCCATCTTGCCCCTCTGGGTTATTAGTGAGAACTGTTATGTCCGAGAGAGAGAGTAATCTGATTAACTCTCTGACAGTACCTTACTTTGCCAGATACCTGATCCTGAATGTCTTACTTTGTGCAGAAGTAGGAGTCTGTCCTGCTTCCTGGTAAAAAGTAGCTTCCTAATCTGTAGCATCTCACTTCTGCCTAATGCATGGGCTCCTACCTAGTTTGAAAATGTCTACTTTTTCTCCTTATTTCAAGTGCTACCCCCAGTGTTCAGTAAAGGCAAGCAAGTGGTGTGGATGAATTTTACCAGTAAGACTTTTTGACTGTTTTTTTTTTTTTGAATAAAGAGAAAATGAAGCATTCCTTTCATTCCTATAGAGACTAAAAGAGGAGGAACGACAAAGAAATGCGGAGTGGGACAGGCAACGTATACAGGCTGCCAGGGCGCAGTTGCTTTTAGAGCGACATCAGCAACGACAGAATCAAGAATGCCGCCGAGCTCTAGATAGTGTAAATGCAGTGCTATCCCAGGAGCAGAAATCAAAGTAAGTACAGAAAGAGAACTTTCTTCTTTTCAAAACTCTCGGCTGTTGACACAATAGTTCAGCTTTCAGTGAACTTATGTACTTGTAGTAAGTTTGTTATTTTTCAATAAACTTATTAAAAATGTAAACATTTTTAACAAAACAATTTAGCTTAAGGGTGTGTTTTCCAGTACTATTAAAAAATATATATCTTCGTAGAGTAGGTTATGATTGCTCTTAACTTACAGGTAGGGAATAGTAGCCAAACTACTTAAGTACTCCATTGAGAACAGACCCTTAAGTTTATATAGAAAGAGAATAAACGCTATTAAATGCACAGAAAATTATATTATCAGGTATTAAGCAGTACATGTTTGTTTGATTTATCTTAGTTTTATGGAACAAAAAAGGATGGGTATGCACTGACCTCAGTATAACTTCCAGTATCTAATGGCTCAGGTTAAGCTAATGGCACAAACAGAGCTTTTCCATAGTGTATGACAGAACTAGATGATTCTTTAGCTCATCACTGGATGGGTCTTGGTGCATAGGTCTTTTGTCTGCTCTGATGAGAAAGGGGAGAGATAATGTGTTAAAGGGTGGTGGGGATGGGGGAATCAAACCAAGTGATTCAATGTTAAAGCCATCCAGTCTTTGATATATATATTTTTTTCCCCCCATGCATGCCTACGTACATGTTGCAAAATAATTTCCAATATCTGATGCTTTCCTATTCTAAAAGCAAAAGCTCTGAAGTGCGCTACTTTAATTTTTCATTGAGAGGCTATTTTAGGAAGATAAAAAGGAATTATTATGCTATATTGGGACATGGCTTTGGAAATATATTTAATTCCATTTCTAATAATTCTGAATGTTTGAGTGCTTATGCCTTACATCTTTTTAGGTTTCTCAAGTAAACTTTGTTACAATGAGAAAGTTAAAACGCTTACTAACTGCATTTTTCATTTATTGCTAGGAACATGTATCTTAAAGAAGAAGCATATTCGAATTTTCCAACAGCCCAGTATTATGCACAATTTAATACAACCAGCCGATGACATTCTAGATACGTCACTCTGAAATATATATGAGTATGTAGAAATATTAAAATTTTTAATTTAGCAGCGCAATGTCCCTTTTTTGTTTTTTGTTTTTTTTTTTCTGTTCCTCACCCTGTTCACACAGTGCACTCAAACTAGATGATGGCCCGTTGGGGCACGTTTATGCTAAGAGGAGAATCATTTTTAAACATGACTGTTTTTACCAAAAAGTACTGGTAGATAGTAGGTTGTTTGGCCATTGTGTCTCAGATTTAAGTGCAGTATTTATGTTATACATGCCTTTAGAAATCAATTGCTGGAAAGAAACTAAATTTTAAAATAGTGCTGCTTGATGCACCTTTGCCAGAGGGAATGCTACCTAATGTAGATCACAGGTGACAGAACCTTGTGGCTTCTGTGTGAGGGAAGAAAGGTGGATTTATTTAAAAAATAAGCAGCCAGGAATAAAAGCAAGCAAAGAGGAGGAAATGGACAAGCTGGCCAGATGCATTCATTTTGTTCCCTGAAAAGTAGGAACAAGAAGAGAAGATGTGGATAAATACTGATGGAATGATAGCACTGAGGCATGATGCAGCTATGGAACATGTGTAAGTGCATACATGTGGGGAACGTATTCCTGTGTGTACTATCACTCATTAAAAATAATGGAGAAAATATGAGGACAGTGTGCTTCTAGAGGAGAGTTTAAGGAGAATTTAAGACATGATGAAAGAAAGAAAAGAGCAGATGCATGCCAAACAAGATGGAGGAAGGTCTCAGCGCATGCAGCATAATTCACAAAAGCGTGTTGCTTCCCATCATTATGGCTACAGAAGAGACTTACCAATGGAAGAACCAGTCAGTGGTACTTGTGAAATGCAGAAGTGAAACAGACGGGAGGAAAATAGGGAGAGTCAAGGTAAGAAACTAACCCCATGATAGAGAAATGGGTGATGGAGATATCCAGAAAATTAAATCCCAGAGGAAAAGAGATAACATACAGAAGACTGAGAAAGGGATAGAAGACTTAATGATCTAAAACAGAAGAAAGAGTGAATGAGAGAGAGATGGCCAGACATTCACATAAATACCTAAGACCTCTAAGAGACTGTGAACTCTTAGTTAAGAATGGATAGGCCGTTCATGACAGTAGGTCCAGAAATAAGTTCTTGTATTTTGCCAGAATCTGGGGAGTAAACTTAGGGTAAAAACATGATGATGATATTGGCATGGAATCCACTGATTGTCCTTGGTGTCAGGATAAGTGATAACTTCAAATTCTGCTGGCATGGTTGAAGATGACTCCGCAAAGCTTAACTAGGAAAGATGTTTAAAGAAACTGACGCTGAGGTAAACTCTAGCGAATTATTCTGGTCTTTGAAAATAATGAAGACTACATGGTTCTCAAGATAGATATTATTAGGGCGATTTGAGATGTTTGACTATGTGGAAATCTTCCTTGAAAGAGGACTCTATTCAAATAAGTCTGCTCAGCCGACATAGTGGCCTGTGGGAGCAGGCTGAAAAGACTTACTACAGTTTTGAACTAGGAAATAACAAGAGAAGTCTGGGAAAGACTCCCATGTTAATCCCTCTAGAGTCAGGAGTAACGAGGAAGAAAATTTAAGTGATGAGAATATGAAAATGGGTAAAGAAAGGTTTTGGGACAGGATAACCCGTAGCACGAAGTGTACCAATGTTACAACTGGACAACTGGAACTAATTCTATGTATATAGAAACTAGGTGGAAAAGCAGTGTGGCTGGAGAATAGGAACTGAAAGATGCGCAAATCAGGAAAGTTGGAAGATAAAGGTGAGAGAAGATCACACTGCACCTTTAATGATGAGATGGACTACAAAGAAGTAAGAAGGGGTAGTATTCAAGAGATTCTATTGTGATAGCATAGAATTGCTTATTTGTCAGGCTAGAATTCACTCATGGTGAGATACCTTTGTAATATTACCAAGAACGATATTAGATTGACCATATCAAGAGTGCATCTGATTGTCTTAAAAGACAGGCCACCAAATGGGGCAGGAAGAACAGAACAATGGACTGTCTACAGTAGCATTCATTTAACTTAAGTTGTTCTTCATCTATGTTTGATAATACCAGACTCTGACTCTCTTTTTTTTCCCCCTTTAAGTTATAGTTACCTGACAGAAAAGTTAATAAAGAAAAAGTGTGGAAAACTTCATTGCCTCATCTTCATTCATGCAACTCATGAGTAGATGTTTATGGACACTTGTGAAAGGTGTACAGTGTAACTAAAATATGCTAGAGCTAGTCAGGTGGCATTTGAGCTTTCTTAAGGAAGGGCTACAAGATCAAATCCTTTTTGTACTTAGTTACTCACTTTCATAACAACTTGTATACACATATGAAGACCCAAAAAGGAAACAGTTGCACTATGAATAAACTTTAGCTAGAAATTCAAATATGAGGACTTTGACGGTTCCACAGCTGGGAAGGATTAGACATTACGAAGATTCTCAGAAAACTTTGATGACATAAACTGTTCTTGCAAATATGATTACAAGAACTATACTGCATTCTACCTGTTGCTTCAGAATAGAAAAACTGAAAATGATTTTAGATGTTAAAAGTAAAGCATAATCAAGTTGTACTAAACATGCTAATGCAAGGTAAAACAGGTCTGATTAATTACTGCAAATGTTCTATGCAATTTTTTTTTATTTTGCACTGAAAAAGCCATGTTTTCAGTTGTCTATCTCACCTGGGTAGGTAATAATGAAGTGCTGGTGAGGTGCACTAACTGCACTAAACCTGTATGGCTGTATAACAAACAAGATGTTGACCTTTTCAGCTGTTAGCTCAAGTGCTCCCAAGTGCTTTTGAAATATGTCATTCTTACAATTTTTACTGCTGAATATTTAAAGGTAGATTAGATCTATTAAAAGTGTTAACTGATTGAAGGTGGTGTTTGAAGACATTTTTGGCTGCTCTGTCGCGTGATATGAGAAGCGCCTAACGCTCTTCAGTGTTGCGAGTTCCTACTGCTGTTCTTACAACTAAGCTAATTACTTAGGTGCTGGCACTATGGAATTGTCCATGTGTTTCGATGGTTTTTATGGAGCTTTATCAAAGTCATTAGAGTAAGGTGTAAGTTCGAGGATCTGATTTAAGGGAGGAAAATGGCAATCAGTGCCTATCATGTTTATGTTTCAAATTTTGCTTGTATCAGTTTCCTGCACTACTGATACTTTGGATTAATAATCTTGGAAAATGTATATATTAAAAAAGAAGTTACAGTGATTGAACTGGAGTCCAATGTTCTACTTTTTCTTGAGATTATTTGTGCTCATATTTTTAAATTTTTTTTAAAAGTTGCAAATGGTGTATATTGTATGCTATGAAAAGTTTTTTCATTTGTTCCTGGAAGGACCTTGGAAGAGTAAATAGCTTCATATTAGAGGCATTTTCGTATTAAATTTTATACTACTTTGGATATCCATATTATGTTATGGATGGACTTTGATTTCCTCCTCTGAAGGGCAACAAGCGCGAGTTTGATCTTTTTGTAAAGACAGAAGAAAACAGAGGGATCTAAAACTATTAAATTTAGGGATGTTAATGCCTAAATTTTCCTGACTCGCAAGGCTAATGATTATTCTCTGCCTAGCATACTCATTTTCTCCTCTTTAATCTAATATTGCTATATGCTTCCGGGGATATATCTGTGATATACTCTTTCAACAGTATCTACTGACCTTCAGTTTTCAAAGGTTATAAATCTAACCTACAGTTCTGATTGTGTGATTTGCCAAGGTTTCTTTTTTTTGATGTTTATGGAATAGTGTTGTGTATTGCTTGCTCTTGCTGAGGAACCATAGTTTTATCAAACAGACCTATGATCACATTTTAGACTTTTATAAGCATGGAAAATGCTGTATAGTGGGAAATCTCACTATATATTAAATATCAACAGCTATTTCCATACTGCAAAGGGAGGTATTAACTTTCACATGCAGGTCACTATCTATACCTTGTAATGTAATTTGACTCATATTATTGTATTTGCTTTTAGTTTTGCTGTAGGCAAGAGTCATGTAGCAAAAAAGAAGATTGGATCTATAAATGAACATAAACGGGCAGGTAAAGGAGTGAAGAATGAAAGTCCTGTTGATAGGATATATATGCACATTAGTACATTTCATGTCCATGATGCTGTGGAGCAAGATAATGGTGGTCGTACTTTCCGGAAAAGAAAATACAAAATTACTATGGTTCTTGTAGAAGCTATTGATGTGTGTTAAGTGAATTTGCTTCCTGCTGTGGGGAATTTCTCCATCCTATGTCTGGAGCAGAGATTTGACCCAAGGAAATTATAAAAATCCTTGTGGCAATCAATGATTTTGAGACTGCTCTTAGCTCTTTGATGTCTACAGTCTAATGTGCTATGGTGATATAAATATTTCAGTTTTTTTACCAGAATAGTTTGGCTGGAACAGCCTGTAGCGTGGGTACAATTATGGTACAATAGTAGTGCCTTATACTAATGTAGTTTATTTACTTAAGTATACAGGATTATGCTGTCTCAGTATTAATATCCCTTTATGGGTAGTAATCTCCTATCATGAAAATTATACTGGTTTAAAATCAACATCATTAAAGTTAAAGCAGTACAAGCACTGCACAAAGACCCATTTCTTTAATAATCTGTTTGCCTTTTAAAAATATTTTTAGATTGGATTAGGGTGAATCTTACTGTGTTTCACTGGAACATGAACTAGCTAATTATATATATGTGTGTGCGCGTGTATATATATATATATATAAATGAAATGTGCATATCAGTGTATCTAGTTATTATATTTATTTTACATAGTTCAAAGTGCATAATATAATATGTAATTATATACCACAGTGTCATAATAACATATCACTTCAAAGCCATTGAAATGATAGTAATTGGTGTGAGCAAAAGAGAATTTGAAATATATGTATGCTTACACTTCTTCCATTTCCTTTCCCAGAGGACAGACTAAGAAATGGGAGAGACTAATGATCCAACTGAGGCATTAGCCTCTCTTTGATAGCAGGAATTTTTTTCTTCTTTCATCTTCCAGAAAAGCATTTCAGGAACTCTCTGAGCCATAGGTGATGTCATTTTATTTAATAATTGTCATAGAAAAGTTGCACACTTTGAATCCACATATATTTAGCATTCAGGATATCTTGCAGCAGACTCCACGAGTTGGCTATGGGTTGTGTGCAGTACTTTTTGTTTGTTTGTTTGTTTATTTTTAACCCTGCTGTTTTCTAGCTTCATTTGGTGCATGTTAATTTTGTCATTAATTTTTTTTTAAAAAGATGAATAGCCGTTCCCTGTGTTCTTCAGTTTTTTTAGGCCTATGTTATATCACAAGAAAGAAAATTAGAGAAGGTACAGAAATGGGTAACAAGGGCCAAGAAAGCTATGGGACAGCTTTCTGATGAAAAATAACTAAAACAACTAAGGATTCTTCCGCCTAGAAAAACAGAAGATTAAACTGTGATATTTGAATCTGTAGATTGTGTCATAATAATATTTTCTGTTTTATCCCCTGTTTTCCCTAGTAATTCCTAACATTTATTTTGCTTCCTTGACCATTGTTGAGCACTGAGATGGCTTTTTCATAGAACTCTATGCTGTAACTCAGATCTTTTTTCTTGAGTGATTGCAGCTAGTTCAGAGCCACCAAAATTTCTATGAAATTTTTTTTTTCCTGTATGCCTCACTTTATATTTTTCCATATCAAACTTCGCCTTCCATTCTGTTTCCCCTTCACTTTCTTCTCATCATCTTTGTTTTCAGTACGTAGGTAGGTAAATATCATCAATGAGGTCTATAATTGCAGTATTTACCTCCCTTCTAAGTAATACTTTGAAAAGTAATAGGTAATATGCTGAAAATATGGTAATATGTTGAAAAGCATTGTGCCAGGCACAAGTGTGTGTGGGTCTTCGTTAGTTATTTCCCTTCAAAGCAGACTATTCATTCTTCACAGCATTACTGTCCATTTTGTTACGCTGTTCTATACTCTTTTTACAGTGTATCAGTTTAAGACATGCTTTGATATGTCTCACATAAGAAAGGAGTCTCAAGTGGAAGCGTCTTTACTCTCTTCCACTGTGAACACACACAAAAAAATCATTTAAATTTGTTTGCAGTGACCTTATTTCTTCTGACTACTATTACAAAATTTGTTATAAATCTACAGGCTTCTCTTTCAGGTTGCCTACTACTGAGGTAATTAGAAATGAATTTGTTATGAATTTTCATGCTTCTACTACAAAAATCCTTAAACTTTTTTGATCTGTGTTGTTCATTTTTACATGTAACTTGCCAGAGTTTGTTCTTTTCTACTTCTTCTGACGTTGACTGTTGGAGGTATGAAAGCATCCTTGAAAAAGTTTTCTTTACCTTGTTGCTTAATGATGCTTGGAGGTGTTTATGGTCTCTGAGGTCTTTCTTGATAATAGTTAATTTTGCTCACTTTTATATTTTAGTTGTTACTAAACTAGGAATTTTCATAATCTCTAGAAAACGAATTTTCACTGGTTTTATTTCACTATATAGGTAAGAGAGAGAAAATAACCACACAAAAAAGTCCCTGCAACTCTCTACTTGCATGAGGATATTTCCTTCCAAGAATGTAGGAGTTCTCAAGAAACTCAAGTTTCCCCTCCCCCCCACCCCAGTTGTATCCATTAATTCAAAGTTAAAAGAAAATTAAGTCTGCTGTTCTGTTTGCTCCTTCACAAGAACATTTGGCTGAGTTACTAAGTTGTGCTGATGCAATGTCTTCTCTTCCTCTAGTTATAAAACCCAGGAAATCTTGTAAGATTCTTCCTGACATTAGTGAGGTTTGGATCAGAACAGAGTAGGTAAGGTTCAGCTCTGTTGTTGTTGTTCACTAATAATTTGAAATAACTATGATTAAACATGGTAGTAGCTAATAAAAGACAGTTTGAAGTAAACTTTCTTCATATTAATCATCAGTTCTGTTAAGGTGTTTGTGTAGTACAAAAAAGATATTTAAAGTGTATCTCCAACTTTTATATTAAAATATGTGCGGAGAAGCATGGCAAATCTTCAGCATATAAATCCAAGCACACGTTATAAAATATTTTCTTAAGAGTTATTCTGGCTCAAGTTTGATCCTTCACTTATTTTGAATTAGTATTTTTCATCTATTGACTTCAGTAAAATAACCTCTAATCAGAATTAGGCCTATTATACTACCAAGTTTAAAGTCTGATTAGGTAAATGACATTCTACTTATATTGCCACAACTAATTAAATTCTGTACAAAGGAAGACTACTGTGTAAATCAGAAAAGTCTACTGGTAGATTCCACAAATCTTCATGGGTAACATTGGTAAATTAATGTGGTTTTGAAAGAGTACACTTCTTAGTAAGTTGCTGCTGTTGTTTTGGCAAGTTGCATAAGCAAGTGTGGGAGATGCAAGTTATTAATATGCAAGATTTCTGCTCTTGTAACTGTGAAAGCTATTTCAAATAGTGAGAATTCCTCATTGAATGAGGAAAGAATTACATCTGTGTGTCCATTTTGTTTTATATTTCTGTGATGATATGTCTTGATGCTTCTTTTTTTTAAAGGAAATTTCCTTTTACAGCACTTTTTCTTAACCAGTTTTTTAGCTGCTTGTGCTAAACTGAATGTAGCATGTAATATGTACTTCAATTCACAGAGGATAATTGATTTCAAAACTTTGCAATGTGCAGAGCTGTATTACAAAGTCAGAAACTGCACTAACAAATCAACAAGGCAAACAAAATTCGTAGACAGGAATATATATTTTTGACACTGAAAAAATCAATTTCTGAATGGATAAACTAAATCTTAACTGACATTAAGTTTTATTTGGAGCTATTAGTGAAATATTAATAATATTTCTTTTCTTCTCTGTTGTTACTTTAATAATGCTAATAAATGAATAAAAGTATTTCTTAAAGGAAACTAGGGCAATTGTGTTCTTTCTACTTTAATTCTTCTGCTATTTCCCATATACCTGGACACTTATTTCCCGAGGATAGTGTGTTCATTCCCAGTCCTTTAACACAGCAAAACTCTTATTTCAGACTCTTCGGCCAAGGAGATATTCTGTATGAATTAGGAAGAAATTTAATATTAAGTCTATTCCAGTAAATTGTATGTGTGACTTCTATCAGAGCATATTGCCATTATTAATACAGTGAAATGCTTTTCTAATGACAGCACAAGGAATCAGAAAAACTGAATACCTACCAGAT